AGTTTTGCTGAGATCATTCAAGAGGAATAATTGATTTCCTCTCAAATTGCTAACAATTACCATCGATAATGCTGTGCAGTAAGGAATGGGCAAAGGAATGATGACTTAAATGATCTCAATGAGAATATAACCTTCTGCGCTCAGAAGGAGTCGTTTTGATCACTGATTAAGCGAAATTTCGAGTGAAAATAGATCAAATGAAGGAACTGTTACGAAAAGCTCAGAAAAAAGGCAAAATATCAAGGAATTTGAATGATTAGGAAAGAAATTTGAATACGAATTGAGTTATATAGAACATGATTGTTATGAAATTTGAAGTGAGAACAAAGTATTTACTTTAACATTGATGAATCCGGCTGGTTCTATGACCGATAAATAACGCATTGGGTTGTACAATTGTTCGCTTATTAGGTGCCATTCTTCAAGTTTTCTAAGTCTGAAATAAGTCTTCGACAGCACATTTTCTGTTTCATCGTATCATTGCTGATGTGATGTCTAATCTTGATTCTTGAAATATTCATTCAGTTCCAGTAAACTGTTCCCATTATCAGTAGTGTGCACATCAAACTTTATTATTAGGGAGCATAGCAACGACCTGCTCAGTTGTAGAGCTCATACAATGCGACCGCCTGGCTTCAGAACACGACATAAATCCCAACAAATATCACGCATTTGATTACCCCAAAAATAATAGTTGTCCACATGGAAAATGCCTGAGGAGAAATCCGATGGGTATGGCAAATTACTGAGATGTACTGCCTGAAATTCAGCGATTGCACTCATTTGAAGGAGTCAGCTTATGTTGAGACTAAGTCAGTTGAATGGTTGTTAATAAGGTATTACACCTGGTCAGTGAATAGACAAAACTGTTTCACGGATTTCGAGCACAACATCTAAAAGACTTATGTGTCGAACATGATTAAGAAGTATTATGCCATGTTTTCATCAAAGGTATTCTGCGATTGGTTTTGGGTGATGTGAATGCGCTAGTTCAGACTGTAATAATGACGGCGTCTGATTGCTGGGTAAAAGTATCTTTGAGGAGAGGAAGGAATGGGCCAAATGCGGTGTGAACGTGTTTACTCGATCAAGTCGTATCTTTCCCTCTTCGACGATTTCGACACAAAATCGGTTTCGTACAACCTCTTCCATATACCGTGATCGATCTGTACCAAATATCATCCCGTCACTACTTTTAATCTTCTCATATGCGTAGCCAATACCTTTTAAAATATAATAGTTCAGGCATTCCCAATTACGATTGTCAATATGAATGGGTATTGTAAATGATATCGAATAATAAGGACATGGAGTGATGAAATGCATAAGAAACAAGTTCTTTTAGGTTCAACATTGAAATGTTGGGTAATATATTTGGATGAAATCATAAGGCGATTCTCTCTGATCGCTTAGGGATATTTTTTCATAACTGCTGATACACTTCCAAACAACTGTTCAAGAATGCGATTAATATCTCTATTCGAGCGTTTAATCTCTACAAATGATTTAAGAATTTGATTTTTATTGAACGCACTGAACTGTAACCTGGTTCGACAAATTACATTACTACCCAAAATTTTCACTAATTCATTCTGCCAACATCTCTCTAAAACTTTTGAGAGATTTCGCTGAATTACAAGAAAAATATCTTTTCTCCTACACCACTGAAAAACTCCAACTAACCATCGCCTCGGCCGTATCCAATTTCTAGAATATTATCACTAGCAGCAATCTTCAACGCCTCAACGGCTGCATATTCCAGATGTCGCGTTTGATGAGCATTCAGTCTCGTCAATATAGATCCAGTTATGCCTTTCACTGGTACCGCATACTTCAATTGGTATTATCATGATTTTCTATTGTTATGATGTCCACCGTTGATTGTTAAAGTTACAATTTTTAGATTCATTATTACTCTTATCGGATAGACGGAAATTTTCTCGTTGAGCAATTCTACTGTAGAGAAATTTGAAGTAATAACAAAATATTTACTTTAACATCAGTGAATCCAGCAGGTTTCCAAGACCGATAAATAGCGTATTGGATTACAGAATCGCTCGCTTATTAGACATCATTCTTCAAGTTTATTGCCTCACTTAGGCATGCTCAAATTAAACTACACCCCCGATCCATTCATTGAGATTACAATTAAAGGTGAAACAATCAGAGCGGGCACGTGAAAGGGATTGAAACTTGCTTACTTTACACCATTGCTATTAGTATAGATACTACCAATATATTCTGAAGAGATTTGACAGGAGATTTGAACCGGTAGTTTGAATACAGAAAGTACCCAATTTCAGGTAGAAGGAAAGAGATTCAGCCGGAGTGGTTATACACATCTTGTAGAGGTTGAAAAGTTGTATCGGGTGAGCTTTTTTATTTGAAAGAAACGTAGGCACTCTTCGGGGGTTTGGGGGTCTGAAAGTGGAAAATTTGCATTTGAATACAATTTTCTACTTTCAGACCCCCCAAATCCCCAAAAAGTGCCTACGTTTTTCCAAATAAAAAAGCTCATCTGATACAACTTTCTAAGCTCTACAAGAGATGTATAACCTCTCCGGCAGAATCTCTTTCCTTCTACCTGAAATTGGGTACTACATAAATGTCACTTTCACTTTTGCCCAATATTTTCAACTTTCAGATCGCTCAAGTTTTTTCACAATGGATAGTTTTTAAAACAAAATAGTTCAAATGATAGAGAATTTTATTCTCTACAAAAACTGTTACGAACTTAAGAATCGCACCACCGACGCAGCTGAATCCTATCATTCAGTTCTATCCAAGTAAGCTACCGTTACCATATCTTTATACTTTCAGTCCATCAAACGTACTTCTTACATTCATCATACTTGTACGTACTTTTTAGGCAGCTGCGTGCTGTGAAAAAAAGGTTTGACTAATATTGGTATTGATAATGAATATTATATAACACACAATGAGCTAGGCTATGATTTGGCTGTATCTATGATCTAATTTATGTAACGATAATAGCGTTAGTAATTAACCGTCTTTATGAAATTCTAACTTGGATCATTGATTTGGCAAGCACGCAGATTTTGGGCTACTCTCGTGTATTGTTCAGTTTCTAGCTACTCCCACATCCACCATTAATCAATTAATCAACGAAACGTAACCTCACCGAATAATAACAGATAATTAGGTAATAGTTAGTTTAGTTTACTGAAGTTAGAATAATAGATAGTAGTAAAGTAAACTAACTATTATCTAATTATCTGTTATTATTCGGTGAGGTTATGTTTCGTTAATTAGTTGACTAATTTGGATGGTAGAAGAATGTTTGGATGTGTCAATTTTTGAATGGTACTTATGAAGCAGTTGTCGCGGTGTTTCAAATGCAGTGATCTGCTGCATTAACTAAATTGATAGGGTAAAACTTTCAAACCCTCATAACATCCGCAAGTTGTCAGTAGTGTCTAGTCTCCTAGCTCAAACATTGTTCCTTCACCCTGAAATTTGGTACTTTATCCGTTATCTTGTAATTTTTTCACGACTTTTCCACTTTCAAACCCTCATAACTTCCGTAAGTAGTCAGTATTTCTATATTTGAAACGAGCTCAGTTCATAGAGCTTTTTGAGCTCTACAAAATGTGTCTAGTCTCTTGGCTTCTTCAATCAGTCCGCAATGAATCACCCCTCAAAACGGTCCTTTTCTGATGTACCATCGGTATATCGATTTGTGGAAACCTCGCAATCGTTACATTTGGTACTACATAAATGTGTCTTCGATTTTTGCCCAGTATTTTCAACTTTGAGACCGCTCCAGTTTTTTTAGCAGATATTGCTCTTTTTTTATAATAGACATTTCTCTTTTCTTATAATATACATTCTACATAATTTCACATAATTTTGTTTCATTGCATTCACATTTTTTGTTTTCATCTCTCGATAAGTAGGTCTTGTAATGTCGTTCGAGTATATCATCTGCTCTACTCACTGTTCTCTGTCTGCCTCAATTCAGCGCAATACTTTTTTCAATGTCGTTCTAGTCTGTCATTTGCTCTAATTGTTGTTCCCCGCTTATCTCACCTCGCGCGACGCGGTCGTGACTCCGCCCTCTTTCCGCCGACACGCGCAAATGGCGAAGTGCGTACGCACCCTCTGTGTGTGTTAGATCACACCCATTTTTCATTGACTTATGCTGAAGGATCACCAGTTGGGAAAATTTTTAATTTTTTAATTCTACACAAATGCATGCATCTTCCCACACTGTTGTCATCAAGTCGCTCAGCTCGTTTCGTCGTAATTTACATTTATGTGCTCTCTTGTCAAGAGCTCGACGACCTTTTTTCAATAAACACAAAAAAGTGACAGATCCAGCACGCCAAGATCCGCTGTACTTCGAGAAATTGGCTAGCACGCTTCCACTCGGTTTGTTTTGTTTTTACCTTTTGCAGAAATTTATTTTTCAGTTCTGCTTTTTCACGTGTTTACCTATTCACTCGTTAATCAAGTGGATTGTGGTTGTGCAACTTACAAAACGGATGTCGGTAATCGCTATATCGATGCATTATAAATTTTAAGAAATGAACTTTCGAACCGTTTGAAATTGTTCGTTTGAGTGTGAAATTAATACATATTCGATGTCTTGTTAGTAGGGTTAGGAACGGGACGTCTATCTGTCTGTTATTTTCATGCGACATCTTAAGAGGGGCCGTCCAAAACTCGTAGTGCGCGTCCAAATCTCCTTTTCTGTTTGTTAATTACAAATTAGTTATTTAGTTATTCATTGAAATGGCTGAATCTATATTGGGTTGAATTGTGTTTGTAGATGAATATTATATTGATGCACTTGGTAAATTATATGCCGAGAAGATTGGTAGTGAACGTGAAGTAATGATGAAAGGTGAGGATCGTCTCATTGGAAAACAACCTGAACAGTGGTTACCAGCCATTGACAAAAGTAACCCTCGAATTGCATATGCACATATTGATGCTCTTACTGCTGCACCTGAAAGTGTCAAGCGTATATTTAGGTATTCATTCGTCTTATTATTTGTCCACAGAAACTGTATCTGCATGCATAAATTCTTTCGAATTTGCTCAAAATTAAATTGCTTGTTAGCATCGAATATGGCACAAGACGAGACTTGACGGATGCGTGGAAAGATGTTCTAATCGGACAAGTGAAAAAGCATGAACTCGACTCTGAGTCTCTTGAAATGAGAAGTAAGTTATTATTTATTTTCCAATTTGATCGTTTGAAAGTGCTCATGTTACTGGTTGGTTTTGCAAGGAAATCTGAAATTATCAATTTGAAAACTTGATCCTGTCATTTACAACAATACACCGAAGTTACAATGTGTTTCTTCTTATTTTTATACTTCTCTTTCAGTTGGATGGCTTACGTCGTTGATTCGTCATTGGAGTTTGCTGGTTGACGAAATAAATAATAAGCCAAGAGTTGGTTTTACCATTCGATTCTCAGATTCTGTTTTGGAAAATTGAGACATGTCTACCGATTCTATGCAGACGAGCAAATAGTTAGGGTGTATCGTGTAAATGAAAGCGCTATGATCTCTGTCACAGAGAAGCGAACACGATCAGTATTCTTTCCAATAGATGCCACTAATGTGTAAATCTGAATGACTAGTGTAAGACTGTAGATTTCAAAAATTACAATTACATACCTAACAGTAAGGACAACGGATTTTGTAGATTACTTCCTGCATGCTTCAACGTAAAGACCTAAAGGATCTTCAAACGCTTCAGACAAACAAATGGGAACTGTGTTTTTTATATTGACTCTTGCGTGCCTTAATGGCTAGGTACTGTTTGGTCGTCTGAATGAAATAGTACACAATGTCAGAAAAGATTTTATCGCTTATTTATACTTGTAACGATATTTATACTTGCTAACGGTATTGTTCACTGTTCAATTCATTGATCAAATTTGATGGTTCTTCTTTCATCCTAATTGATCAATTGCTCATTTATCTATCATTTTTCCTTTCAGAAGCCAACGTGGTTGACTCATCGTATTTTCTTGATGATCAACTTTCGACGTAAACTGCTCCGGAAATTGCGTGAAACCGATTCAGATGCCTTTGAAAAGGTTCGATGAAAATTCCTCGAACATTACATCAACATGTATTGCACTCTGTGAATATTGTTGAAACGTTGGATGCTTTTAGGTTCTTTCTGAACTGAAGATAGCATATTACGTACCAAAGTTGCCCGAAGAGATGATCGAGAAAAGACGAAAAGCATGGGCTGAAGCACAGTTGAAGTTGCGTGTCGATAAAGAGAAAGAGGATCGGCTTAGGGAACTGCATGAGCGTTTTATTGCGGATCGAGAAAAATCAGAAAAAGAAGTGAGTTAGTGCTTTGGAAAAAGACCGAGCGCTTTTATGATCACTTGAATTAATTGCTCAGAGTCATCTCTTTCTACTTTCTTAACAATTATGTGTTATAATACCACTGAAATGGTATTGTTGTACGATCGTTTTATTCGAACTTTTGGATTTCGGTTGGTCACATCTTCATGTTTAGATTAGAGCACAGTAAAGGAGTGAGTGCGTCAAAATGAATGTTAATTCATATGCATTCGTTGTTTTGAAAGATGGTAAAAGATAAATGGTTTCAGATCGATGAGGAGTTGACAAAGTTAGAAGAAGAGGAAAAGAAATTGGAGAGTCGATTGAAAGAGCTGGACGAGTTACAAGGACGAATGCCCGCTAACATTCCCAAATATCAACCGTCACTTATTGATTGTATTTCTGAACGAACTATTCATTCGATACTCTTTTATCATCCAAAATCTTCGGCTGTCCCACGAAAACATTCATTATCAATTTAGAGAATTAGATACTGTTTTGTTATCATTATTGTATATTGATTTTTATCATTGGTTTTGTTCAAGTGAAATAAAACATAGAGTTTTTTATTGCTCCGGTTGTTGGTATCGTTGCTGATTGTTTGCAAGGATGAATACTAACGTTTGTGACAGGTAACTGAAGTCAGATCTCCCTCTGAAATCTGTATAACTCTGAGGCTGTTCGAGTGACGATTGATGGCGTAGTTAGTTAGTGCATCATAGAGTTATCGTGATTGCAGGTAAGGAAATGTTTTTTCGTGTCATGCTGCAGTTGCATTTGATAATCATTGTGCAATTGCTGTTTGACGGTTCATGATAACATCATAGCAGAAGCAGTTCGAGTATCGGATCGAGTAGAATTCGTAATTGATTGAAACGTTCATTATTGCGCATTGAATAAGTTGAGAGTAGGCTGGTGTGGAGTGGATGGCCGTTTTATATAGGCATTTGCACGTTTCATCGCGCGACTAACTGGGATCGTTGTCTCAATTCGTTAATAATATGAGAACGTTTAAATTTGTTAATAATGACAAACTGAGACTTTTCGTTCGATCGCTTCACTGGATGTGGTGAACAAGGAACGACAAATAATGTCAAAGAACGACGCATAACGACCAGCAAAACTCCCAACAGAAACAGTGTTTTGCTTTGTTTTGTTCAGAGTGAAGTTGGATTGGTGGCCATCGACCAACGAAACCGAAAGAAACTAATCGATCGGTGATTACCAAAAGATTTGATTTCCGCGGCCACCGACATAAACTGACCAATACTCAAATTTTGCCCCATCAGCAGCCACCGAAAAAAAAATCAATCGATCAGTTCTGAATTCCAGTCCAGAGGTGGGTCAAAATATTTGACAACAGATTCAGATTTGCAGTGTGATCAAATATTTTGCAGCAACAACCGAAGCATCGACTACTGCTAATAATCGAAACACGAAAATTGGAAGTGTATCAGAGCTGAATGATTCACTTCCAACAAGGACAATACTACCCAAGAACACTGGCGCAGGTGTTGGTGATCGGTGGAGTATAATAGTATTTTATTATATTAAAAACTGTTTGAATGTCACTGTCAGTTAATTAGTGTCAGATTCCAGTTTGAATGATGAACGTTGTAATTGATTAATTAGGAATGACCTTCATAACATTCCTTAATTCAATACAAATATGTAATAAGAAACAAACCCCATGAGTCAATGTTACTACCACTGTAACAATTGTGGATATCTTTATTTCCGTCAGTGGAATGGGCCGTTCAAGAATTCAAATCGCTCTCTCATAATAAATTTTTTTTGGAAATAACCTTTTGATCATGAATTCACAAGGATTTCTGTTAAAATGATGCTAATAGGGGAAGGGTTATCAAACGGCTAATGAAATGAATAAGACAAATAAATAAATGACTCGTTTCAGTTTAGCTGAACGACTAGTGTTTTAGTTATGGTGCAGCTGACTGATTACCTGAATCACTTATGTATCAGTCAACGTGATAAAATATTATTCAATTTGATTGGTCAAGAATGATTGAATATTCAAAAGTGAATTCTTTGTTTGTGATAATCGGAGTTGAAAAGAAATTATTCGTGTAAGATTGTGTCAGCACGAGCTCTCACTTCGAATTTTTGACTTTGGTTTCTGAAGTTGATTTTTGCAGAAACTGGATGAGGGTTCGACAATTCAAACTTCTTTACTCTCAGATTTTACATTATTCTCTTAGCAATATAGAATGTGTCTCGTTTCTGTTTTTTTTTCTTTCCCACCTGATGACACGAAATTTGAAGTTTTCAGCAGTTGATTCATTCACCTCGATCAGTTGTTTTCCTTTATTTTATTATTTCGTTCTTACTCAATGCTCTTATTTTTTCCTACTCAGCTCTGTTTAACACATTTCGACGTCATCAATCAACTCAGTGCGTAAAGATCGGATTATAAATTCGTTTAGTGCCAAAATTTATAGAACTCTATCACCACATTCAATTTGGCTAATAAAACAGCGATAATGAATCACCATTGACTCATTGTTACAATTCTGTTCTCTTTATCGTCTCACTGCTTCTAGTGCGTGCAAAACGATAATATCAACCAAAGCGATTAAAAGAGTACAGCTTTATTGCGAATGTGCTTTTTGTTTAAGTAATAAAATAGAAGTAAACGATTCGAGTTCACAATATTACTCACTTCATGACTCACAAACGCAAGTAAAGTAAACAATCACAGATAGACGACCGATTTGAATATGATAAATAAATTAACAGAAAAATAAATAAACTGATGAAATCACTTATAGAAGACGAAGTGTTCGCACTTCATCTGTTATATATTAGCATACACAAAACATAAATATCAACCTGAATGAGCTTATAATTCGGTTAGAAAGATATGGTTCAAAATGCATTCAAATGTTAGCAATAATAACAAAAATAAATGAAACAGAGACAAACAGAATACCAGCATAACAATGTGCATGAGGCAATGGCCATGAATGTATGAAGGTTCTGAAAACTTCTCACCTAATTATAATTCATATGTTGTTATATCCGATCTATTAAGCAGATATTTAAAAAAAAACATAGATGAAATAGTTCAAATAATTCAAGCAAAAAACTTGAACGCAAAGTTATTTCAAATAATATTATGAAACTTCAAAGAAACCAAATGAAACATATAAGATTTAAAAAAACTTATGTATATATACAATATCAAATAGGATTAATGATATATACTAACTGGACTACTTAGTAAATGGTCAGGTTGAATTCATTACAAGATTGTGATGTATGCGACAGAAAACTAGTATTACACATCGAAAAATTATATGAACTGCGAATACACAACGAGAAGAACAGTTTGGCTCATATATCTTTTCAATCAGTTCTTATCATACAAAATTTCACACAGGTTGTTTTCAAGACAAAATGCACATTACTTTCGGGTTGCACGTTTCAGTTCTTTTTTTGCATGAAAATTTGTCACCTTAATTCATATGCATGTATATAAATATGCTTATTGAACAGCAACAATAACAGCAATACTATCTTCTGCTGATAAAATAAACTAATTCATAACCTATTCGTTCATATTTCACTAGAAGATTGCGGCTATTATCATGTCGATCATTCTTCATTTTCATAATGGTCCCATTCCGACCGTATGGAAAACATGATCCCATATCACAGTTGAGATGCCGAATGCTGAAAGGTTAACAGCTTATTGTTGTATTTGAAAAAATGACTTGTAATTAGAGGCAGTTCGCATCACTAGTCGATCCAACAACAATCTATGATAACTATGCACACGATACGAATCAATCACCACACATATTATAAGCATAAACTTAGAATCTGTCGAGCCTAAGCTTCAACTATAGTGGCATGACGAAAAAACACTTGAAATGGATGAAAATGCAAAAAAATGACTATCTGGTAGTACCTAGGTCGAAGTCCTTGAAGTGATGATTATGATGATAAACTTTACGAAAGTGAAGATTTGTCAGCGGACGTGGATTACCGTGATGTAAATAGTAATGCGTCACGTCATAAACCACATAGCCGAACAGTTTACCGGCAGCGAAGCAACAAAAAACATGATATGGTAGTATATTTATATAAAGGACGTAAAAGAAAAGCACGATTGGCAACGCAGGTACCGGTGGAAATACCAACCGGTCGCCATCCATTGGAGTCTGAATATGAATTGATTGCTGTCAAAGTGCATAAGCTATATGTTATCAAGTTGAACATTCTGAATAAATATCATAAGAAATTGTCTTTGAGAAAGTTGCTGACTAAGAATTGTATTCCATATTTTAATTTATTTATACAATGACCAGATTTTGAACACATACCCGATCTTCGTACTTTCCTTTTAGTCACATATTCGATCTCAATCAAACACCGTTTCTGAGTGACTAGATTCTATCGAAATTTGATAAAAGAATGAACGATGAAGTAAAATAAAACCAACTTTATGATGGAGACCGTGAAGTAAGAAATGAAAAAGTATTTGATTTGATGACTTTGGATTCGGTTGCCAATGAAACGCAAATCTATGTAGAATATATTCGAGTAATGTCCACGCTAGAACACCCAAACTGAAGTAAATAGCCCAGACGACCAGTCCTTGTGAGAAACCTTAAATTCAAATATTTAATAACGGCGTTCAACAATGACAACAACTTTTAATTTGCACAATAAAATCTTATGATGCTTTTGTTAAGGCATTGTACACATATCTAAACGAGCAATTTACACAAATTTCAAGTTAACTTACACTCTGTTACTTGCTTCTAAAAAAGTATTTAGACGCACTCACCGATTCATACGTAACCATTTATATTTGTTTTACAACACTAGATGAACTTTTACTGGCCGAAAAAAAAACCAGACGCAACCAAAAAAAGAATGACATAATGATAAAGCAATATGATCAAATAAAGGGCGTATATACAGCTTAGAAAACGAACCGTACAGATTGAACAGAAGTCCAAACGCACGAATGGTAAAGAATAGAACGAGTGGTAACCATATCAGCGGTACAATCCACCAACTTGTTCGGGTCATCATTTCGAGTACATCCGAACCGAACAAGCGCAGCGAGCCTTCATACGGCTGATGAATCCATGTCCAATACTTGTCATGTAAATCACCCACTCTTAGCAACATTGCATCACCATTCAATAGATTGTCTTCGCTCTGCAATTCATTTCAATTAACAACTCAACAAGAGAAACTGTCAAGTTGGCTCACTAGAGAATTGCTTCAATTGGATCTAACCTTGAAGCACTTATCAAGCGCGTATTTCTCAAGCATTTGGTAAGCTGCCTCCGAATGTCGATGCTTAACACCCATAATACGCGTCTCACCGTCCATATACCCATCCGCCTCTTCTCCAGCGACTCTTCGCAATACCTCAATAATCATCACTCAGCTTTCAACTAAATCATAATATAACAACATCTTAATCTTAATTATTTATTCATAGCATATACAAAAATAATAATAATAATATTTTAACATTTACTTTCATTCCACCAGGATGTTTACGTGCAAATAATGCCACATCGTAAAGTCTGCCTCTGATTGTCAATAATAAAGGTTTTTCATGTTCGTTACAACATTCCATATCTTCATCACCAGCCGATTTACTCATTTTGATAGATCGATGGAATAAGATATCTATTTATACTTGACTCCTAATAGAACTGGTGAGTAGTTCGTGTGTTATACTATGTTGCTCACTCGCCGCACCCTAAAATAAATTCCTATGCATACTGGAATGCAATCCGTATGACGAGCATCATCCAATCGCTAAGAAAAATTAATGCTAACATTAGTGATAATGATAATCGTAATAATCACAACAGCAATTGCAAAGAAGCGCATAAAGGAAAGAATGACTCACATAAAGGAAAGAGCACCATCAAAACAATCATTCAGTCTAACCACCTATCGTCAAAACAACTAACTCTATTCGTATTTATCATCCAAATAAATACCTATACGTATTAATAAGACGTCACTTATCAAAACAGATAACGCGATATAATCATAACAAATAATCAATTCGATGAAATATCTTACGAAAAGAAATAAAGAAATGAACAAAGCTTATATTCTTAACACAAACCAAGCAGACAACAAAAAACCAGTATAGTTAAAAACAAATCGTATCAACAAACTATAAACATACAGTTCATATATATGAGATTAAGTACAGATCACTTCTGACTGCATATATACTCATAAAGCATTTTTTTCAACATAAAAAGCAAGGTGTGTCCGTATCCGCTCAATCACCTATTTCATAATCGAAAGACAACTGAATATTTGTTTATCTAATCTTATATACAGTGAATGTAAACTAAACAAAAACTAGGAGCTTTCGACTATATTTGACAAGAACATTTTGTGAGTCTTTTCATTTATGTCGTCATTTTCATAACTAATTTTCGATCCTTTAAGCACCAACAATTTCCTTTCCAACATATAACGCGAACACTGAAGATTCATAGATAGCACACGTAAATCATAAAAATGGATTAATGAACAAAAGCAATTGTTCAAAAGCGACCAAAAAACGATTTTCGAACATATCAACGATCAATGGCCATTTGTGCGCAACAACGATCACATTCGATCACAATCAGTCCACTGAATCAACGCATTCCAAATAAAATTCATAATAGTCATTATAAAAACTGGATTTCGCATGATTGGCTGCTCACTGAACTGATATGATAACTATAAGTGAAAGATCGCTCGATGCAAAACAACTCATCGTGGTAGGCGGTTTTGTTTAAACGAATCACTGATAAAGGAACGATCGTTCCGTTTGTAGTGTTATCACAACGAATCAACACTTGCGGTGTTGTTATAAGGTAAGGTTTATAAAATGTCGACGATTTTTGCAATGCCGAGATCGGGTCTAAACCCTGTCTTCCAGTAACTTTAGAAATATAGAAGAGTCACATTCTTTTTGATCCAGTGCATTCATATTTCATCAGAAAAAAATTTATTGAACAGAACATGCGGGCAATGGCATTATGAAATCTTGAAATAAAGCATTACAAGTACAATTCAGATAAAACGTTAACAACAATTAAATTCTTTGGGACAGTATCTTAAATGTTTCCGTGAATAAATTCAATGGATTAATCTTCAGTTGCTTATATCAGAGATGAAAGGAAGCCAAACATATTTGTCGACAAATTTTCTTTTTCAATTCTCAAAATTTGCAAACTGATTAAAATTGTATCATACAGATACCAGAATTTTTACAATAAAAAGTCTTTGAATAGTTCAAACAGAATCGTCAACAAAATGAAACATCATCAACATTGTTACAAAATAATGGAAATAACGTTGACGATAAATTAACAAAACATTCAGAAGATACAATTAATTGAAATAAGCTCTGAAAAACAGTAGAGCGTTGATTGCTCATTCTCAGTTTTGTACAGAAAAAGAAAATGCCAAAAAATTCTATGAAGTCGTCGAGTTTTTTTCTCTTCATCCATTTCCAAGCTGCACCTTGTCCTCTTCAACTCATTCCGTATCCTCGAATTTTCACCTCCCTCCCCTCATCGACCCACAAGAAGCACATTTCCCAGAATATATAGATTCGGAGCATATTATGGACGAACAAATGGGAACATGATGTAAATATGCTATACATACGAAGTAGCGCACGATCAGTAACAAAGTTACTATGACAATTCGATGGCTTGCTTGGTTGCTAATTCAACCACTCGTACGTGCAGAGTCATATTTGCGAGATGGATGAAAGAATGAACACAACCTCGTATAGAACGAATATTATTGTGCGTTGATATAACTGGGTGATGACAAAGCTTTTAAGAGAACATTTTAGCTGAGGAGTGCTATAGGTATTCCGCTACTACGTACCCATCTCTGGATTTTAGCAGTGAACTCAGAAGAACGTACCGAATGAATTTATGACAAAAAAAAGAAGGGTATTGAAAGGAACAGATGCCTAGATACTATAGAATAGAAGTAGAAGAAAGTGACGGAAATGGCTAACAACAAATGATAGATAAGCGCTTAGAATGAAATGAACGATAACGAGTCAACCATCGGAAACGACTGAGTAGAACGAACGACATAATCCATTTGGAGAGAGTTGCATCGGTAATGTCAGCAGATGATGACGAATATGCAGGTGTATGCAGCCTGAAGAATGCTGTGAACTACTAGCAGTAGCTGACAGCAGATTTACTCGAAAATTGTCATTGAAGTTGAAATTCATTGAAATCATTTCAAGAAGAAGCTTTTTTGAATGTTACTTTGCAAATTCGTTTCGTAATCAGAGTTCAACAATAGGGCGAAATTTCGATCGTATTCATAACATTTATTCGTCATCCATTCAACGCATTGTGTTCATGTTTGATGCTGATGCTGAATGCACATTTCATCTCGCAAAAATCGCTGAATTTCGCTGATGAAAATATATGTATAACAGCAGAAGCGTGATACAATGAAACATCGATCGTTGAGATCGATTTCTTACTGTAATCATATTTTATCAAGTAAAACCTTCAGTAAAGAACTCTCGGCGGCCGATATCGAACAAAAATCATAAGTAGATGTGCAAACAACGTCGATAGGCGTGATAAAAGACGTTTTGTTTCACCCATAAAAATTTGTGAATTATCAAAAGATAAATTTGCACATTCGAATGCAACATAAGTTTATTTGCAAATCAGAAAGTAAAAATAATAGGGGTTTGTACAATTAATGAATGGCAGCATTAGAGGATGTAAAGCAGCATCAGCCAAATCAATTGCAACCAACCAAGTGCTCTGCTCTTGTTGCCGGCTCACTGGCTCTCTTTTATGAAACATATTATGTCGTTCATTCATTGTCTTCTCATGTTCCAGCTGCTTCTTCTACTTGCAAATTATATATATATATATA